ATATATATATAAATATATATATACACACATATATATAAAAAAGGATCTTTTTTTATTCTACTGTGAATGCAAGTGTTGTGCAGTATTTCTGCTACCGCAGGAGATGAGAGCGTTCTGATACTTAATTTTTTTCTAGTTGACTTACTATACTTGGCAAGACTTTTGCAGTGTTGCCTGTGTTTCTCAAGTGCTAATCTCGCTTTTTTCTGCATGCAGGAATATGAATCTACTTAGGCAGAAAAGGATCTTTTTTTATTCTACTGTGAATGCAAGTGTTGTGCAGTATTTCTGCTACCGCAGGAGATGAGAGCGTTCTGATACTTAATTTTTTTCTAGTTGACTTACTATACTTGGCAAGACTTTTGCAGTGTTGCCTGTGTTTCTCAAGTGCTAATCTAGCTTTTTTCTGCATGCAGGAATATGAATCTACTTAGGCAGAAAAAATGTATTGGATTAGAGCCCTAAGCAGGACATGGCAAGAGGGAATGGGGAGATCAGAATATTAGAATATAGATAGTTTTATATGAGTTAGATAAAATGACTACTAAGTGTATGACTGATAAACATGGCTATGTTTGATCTGCGTTCCTGTGCGGTACCTTGCCTGTCAGTTTTTCCTAAGCTGCTCAATGATGAAACGATTCGAAAATTTTCAAATGTTTTACTGGTATATTGTTTATACTCAAAAAATCACAAGCTGGCATGAGGACACAGATGCAGTTTTTACCACTGTTGATACAAAATAGAATTTGAGTGGTTGATGTCTTCATAATACAAAAGTAGACAGAATTTTGACTGTGTTTCCAGGCATTAGATTGTAATGACCTTATTATTATAAGGAAAAGCTGCATATTCAATAAGATGCTTAAGTTGTGACAAAATCACATCTCTGAAACACGTCATTTAGCATAGATAAGCATACTGGTCACAAAGTTACCTAATATTTCTTGTGTAGAAACAGGAGCACTGATAAACTACTAAGAAATGCATGCCATTTGGGACTAGACTGAGATACTATTACTTAAAGCACAATAATGCATAGAATTTAATATTACTGTAAAATTTTCATGTGGCACCTAACATGATGTGACACAAGATTTTATTATGCTAGGTACTGTCAAGCAGGAGAAGGAGCAGTGTGCTGCAAAGAGCTTTCAATGCACGTGTAAAGGGTGCTGGATGGGAGGAAGCAGGAGATTGTGCGACCTTACTCATCACTTGAGGAGTAATAGTCTTAGCTCATCAGTGGAATAAAAACTACTGTGTTTTGTGTAAGCAGGACAATGAGAGTAAGCTTGAAGTAGGATGATGATGTGGGAAAGGGGAACTCCAGCCGAGTGTTACCGAGCGTGAGAGAAGGCACAAAGTTGCCGTTGCTGAAGGTAGATTGAACTCTTGGTGTTGAATAAGGGCTGAAAGGCAGGCTGTGGGTAAGCTCTGAAGATAAAGACCAATAACTTTTTCTTGCTGTAATAGAAGGGGAATCAGTAGAGGATTGCAAGAAGACAAGTGATTTGAGGGTGTTTTATGTGTGCTTGACATCAGAGTAATCTTGGCGAGTTCTTTACGGCTGCTCGCTCCCTGGGAACTTCCCTGTGTATTAATAACTGAACAGCTTGTGAGTCAACTCCCAAATTACTTTAAACGAGTGGCCCATCAATATCCATTTGCTTAAATGCTGTGAAGTGCCTCAGTGAGGTGGTGATCCTTGCTGGAGGGCTGGGGCACACAGCTGGGCCTTCTGCCACTGCAGGTTTGTCTGCTGCCAAATATGTGCCAACACCCTGAGGTTTTCTAGCCCATTTTACCATCTTTGCAACAGCATCCTGAATAGAGGCAAGAAGGGCAAGGTACTGCATACCAGAGCTAAAGAAAGAGACGTTGCTAAAATACAAGAGTATGGGCAGAAATTACGTTATATGAATGTAAAGAAAACTCTATATCGAAGAGATTTTTATATTCAGACTGACTGCAAGAAACGGGAAGAAGTCTAAGACAATGATAACATCTTCTTGATGATGTTTACACAATTTTCAGAAGACTGAGTGCAGCAGAAGGGTATGAGTATGAGGAAGGAATCAGGGACTTTGTTTGGTTTTTGCTGAGTTTGAACTATTAGTTTGTCATGACTCAAGCACATCAAAGGTAAAATCTTGAACAGAAGTAAATACAGTCTGAAATGTGTAGAAATAGCCATGAGTGAATTTGTGGATGAAGCTACACAGAGGCAAGGGCTAGAAAGAGGACAGAAAAATGGTTTAAGGATTTTGACATCTGGCTTACAGAAATCAAGAATGAGGACATTTTGGTTGGCTTCTGTTAGTGTAAGGGTTGGTGTAAGGTCTAGTCACTAGGGAATTAAAGCAAAAAACAAAGAGGGGGGCAGTGAAGTTCAATTGTTTTTCCCTTGGTACTTGAAGTTATCTTTTGGCATGCTTCCATACTTTATGGAAATTAAAAAAGGAGGCTATATTTCAGTAATCTAGATATGCATTTTCCTTTAACTCTGTAAATATTTTGTACTGTAAGTAGTTAAATCCTTTTGTGAAAACACTTTCTGTTGTGAGAATACGCATGCACCGTGGAAGAAAATTATCTGTAAAAGCCTCGTAGTTGAATGTCACCATGAATTTTTCTTTTGTGCTATGAAGTCTACGAAGTCTGGGCATCTTCATGATTTTTATTTTTTTTCCTTCTTTTCTGACCTTCTAGTTATTCAACTTCTAATAAGTATGACCATGCTTTCTCACTCCAGATTTACAGCATGACACTTCGACTCTCTGCCTTATTTGAAAATCGTATGAAAAATATCATCTCTGAGTACAAGTCAGCAGTGCAATGTCAGAAGAGGAAAAGACCACGGTACCGAAAACGGCTAAGAAGCAGTAGCAGTTCACCCTCAACTAGCAGAGCATCTAGGTAGCGTAATGATAGTAAGACTTGCTATCAGTGTCATTTGAGATGACAGTGGTAGACACACCTTCGCAAATAAGCAGTCAGGAAAAGTACTGCTCATTTCCTGATGCAGTTGCTCTTTTGTGTGATAAAATCATGAGCTCAAATTCCATGCTGTATTTGTAGTTTGTGCATAATCCTGATAAGTGAAGGACTATATGATTAGAAATATTCCCTCTGGAGGAAATGGAAGACCAAGTTTCTTTTTGCCTTTGTTTAGTAACTGTTGAAAAAAGTGTTGTATAGCACTTTTCTGACTTCTGTATAATACATTATCTAAGTAAACTGAGTATTTGTTCTAAAAGGTGAGACAAAATCTTGTTCCTGCAAACTCATATGCCTTTAGCAAACAGAATGATATTGTAACTATTTTTAGTGTCACTCGACCTGTGCAAGCACTGGGAAAAAGAGATTACTTGTGTTATGCATTTGCTGCAAAAAACAAGGCACTTTGCAGGGGAAATTGTTCGTTTGTTTTTTGTTTGTTGGTTTTTTTGGTTTTTTCTTTTTTTGTTGGAGTCTTTTGGTACTAACAGTTTTATCTCTTTGGGATATTTTGTGTCTTCAGCCCAAAAGGGAAACAGAAGCAAATGAAGATTCAACCTAAACCCAACCAGAATACCTCACTGCCTTTGACTAGGACTAGTTCTTCAGTTTCATCTCATGGTGAGCAGAAATTTTCTAAAATGCATCCTTTCTCTTGCAACAACTTGTATGTGCAGATTAAAGCTTATATTCGTGAGACACATGCAAAGCCCTCCTGTGGAAAGAGCAAGTAGCAAGGTCATGGACATATGTCGTCTGTAGATTGTGTTAGCTGAACTTGGCCCTCCAGCTGTTGGTAAGTTGTTGGTAAGGGTCAGAGAATAGGGAACCTGGGTCTGTCCTTGGAAAGAATTAACCTAGTGACAAGAGTCTGGACTTCTTGTGTATGGGCTTCTCTCATACAGTGATTGCGAATACATTAAGCTTACTTTGGATTACACCTCGGAGGAATTTGTCTCTTCATGACTGCAGAGACGGCTTGCTGAGATTAACCTCCTGACTTGGGCTGTTAACTCGGGTGTTACAAAACCTCTCCAGGGTGCCTTGCATTACAACCCTGTAAACAGAGGATAGAAATTACTCTGTCACGTTAGTGGTGTCCTGTCTTAAAGTTTCAGATACAGCAGAAGAACCTCTGGGTTCAGCTACTGGTGAAGAGATGGAAGGTCAGCCATCTTCCTCGGGCTCGAATGCACAGAACCGAAGTGGAAACACCATTGATCCAGGGAAAAGTAGACCAATCAGGAGTAAATCTACACCAGTGAAACAAGGTGAGAAATAATAAGCATTCTATTCTTTGACTGTTTTCACTAGAAATGAAAGACGTTGCTTCTGTCTGGTGCTTATGATACTCTTGCCTGAGTCTAGCATTATACTACATTCCCAAACCATACTAAAGCATTGAATTTACCTTACTTCTCACAGTTCTGTGGTCTCTTTTCTGGAGTGCGGCATGCACATGGTGCCACGTGCACTTCAGTGAGGTCCTTTAAAATTTCTCTGGATGGAAAAGCTTGGTTGCTCTTAAACTTCTTGAGAATTACAGTTCCTTCAGGAGTTACAAAAAGCAAAGCAAACCAAAAGAAACCCCACCCTAAAACCCTGTCCTTTTATTAATCAAGTTTAAATCAAAGATGAAAAAAAAAGTTTTAAAAAAATTAAATATTTTTATCATAATCAAGACTAAGTGGTTTGTGATTAGAAGGAAAAAACTGTTTGAAAACTGTGGTATTTTGTCTCTGGGACATGTTAATCAGACTTGCCACTGAGGTGGGCATTGAATGAGCTATGGCTGAAACCCTGAAACCTTTGTCAAGTCTGTACTACTGTGCTGCAGCAGTGTTGTACGTTGCAGGTGAGCTTTTTGTATCCTGTGTTAAAAGAAGATAGTCAATCTTCTTTATCAGATTTGTAACTCTGAAAACATGTATTATTTTGGGTCCCAAGCCAGCAGGATACTGTATGTATTTTTAAGTTAAGGTGTTCAGCAATCCTAGTGAGCTTTCTTGGGTTATTTACTGTCTTGAAATTGTGCTTGCCACAAGTGTTCCCTGGACTAGCCTTTTGAGAACGTGCATGTAATGGGGAATACATACTGCTTGCAGAGTGTTATTTTAATGTATATAGGTTGGAAATTGATTTTAAGACTTTTTTTCTGCCTTGGCACCCTAGGTAGAGTTCATCTGACTACATGTTAGATGTTTGTGTTTCACCTAGTCACTCTGGGCTCCTTTTATTGACTGGATCTTCACTGAACTCTTCGTCAAGAGAGTTCGCAGTCCTTGCTTTCAGATAAGATGAACTGTGTTTACTTTGTCTGATAAATTTTCCCCTTAGAGCACCTGTTTGTCTCCACAGCATGTAAAGGTCATCTGTGGTGAGTAGCTCAGAGCTGGATCATCCCCAGAGCACACCTCAAAGGCAGATGAGGCGAATCCCACTTTTGGTACCCTATTTGGCTCGGGCGTGATGATGATAACCGATAGGGTTATTTTGTGTTTGCTTAGATCACTCTCCTGATGGACCACTTACAAATGGTGATGGCAGAGAACCTCGGACAGGAGTCAAGAGGAAGTTAAGTGCATCAGAAGATGATGAGCATCTGGAGGAGGCAGAGGAAGAGGAAAAGAAGAGAGAACTAAAGGAAAAATCTGGTTTATCTTCATCAGAAAGTGGGGAGTCAGGATCCAGTTCAAGTTCTGAAAGCAGAAGCGGCTCTGATTCAGACTCTGAATCAACATCTAGAACAGATCAGGATTACATTGATGGAGACCATGACTACAGCAAAGTTGTGCAATCCAAAAAACCCAAAAGAAAAATCAAAAGAAAAATCACCGCTGGGAAACGGAATTGGCAGGGCAGAGGTACAGGGAGGAGAGGTAGATGGGGGAGGTGGGGGAGATGGAGTAGAGGGGGAAGAGGTGGTAGAGGCGGAAGGGGCTGTGGCAGAGGAAGAGGTGGCGGCAGGGGAGGAAGAAGAGGCCGAGGAGGCCGAGGAGCCTCGCGAGGAGCTACCAGAGCCAAACGTGCCCGAATTACAGATGATGAATTTGAAAATCTGTTTGGAGGACAGTTTGGTGAAAATGTGTTTGGAGGGCGATTCAGTAGACCGCCTCGGATCAAAACAAGGAACGAGGGCAGGAGAACTGTCTTGTACAATGACGATTCTGATAATGACAATTTTGTGCACACCGAGGATCCTTTGAACCTTGGTACTTCCAGGTCAGGCAGGGTGCGGAAAATGACAGAAAAAGCCAGGGTCAGCCATCTCATGGGATGGAATTATTGACAGATGAAAAACTTTGGAACAATTTTAAAAGAACTTCAATGGCCTTCTACTGCAGGGATTTTACCAGAAAATCTACCAAGCAAGTTGTGCGGGGACTCCACTCACATTTCACAGTGGTGCTTTTCCATTATGTCAGTTTGCGTTTGTTTTAAAACTTCAGATCGCCACACTTCATTGGTCAAAACAAGCCTTATTCATTAGGCCTTAAATTACAGAAATTCTTCCCCACACACTACAAGTTCATCACATTAAAGAGGCTTCCAGCTTCTCAATAAGAACATGACATTTTGAGTCCCGATTATGACTTCCACCCCTCATTTTGTTTTTGTATTATAGAAATAGCACCTTCTTACAGAGTTTTTATGTGATTTCTGCCATAAATCCTTATACACAGTAATAATTATAACTTTTGCACAATACACCAATCCTAAAGGCAGCTATAAAATGTTTACAGTTTCTATATGGTAAGAAGGATCTGGATTATTTTAATCTTCCCAGGCCAAACGTTCATGAATTGTGCTGAACTGAAGTATGTCTATACTACAGTTATGGGGTTCCTGATGTGCTTTCTATCGGTTCTTTATTCATGTAAAAAAATGACAAAGGGTTGGTGCCTTGTAAATATGTAGCAAACCTTTGATGTGGTGTGTCCTATGTGTGCATTAACTTTATTAAAAAGAGAATACTTGAGAAGTATGAATATCTAGACAAAAGGTGCCAAATGCAAAAGTTACTTGCATCTATTTTCTTTTTGTCCTCTCGTATTTTTATAGTATTAATAGAGATTGTGCAGCTAAGGGGTAACTTCAACATTTGAAAGGTTCCTCCTCTTCAAAGCATAACGTGATTTTTAATAGTAGCTCAGCTACCTCTATTTACAACTACTGGAAACATAAAAGAAAATAGATGCTATTATTCAGTACGTGTTGGAGAAGAGGCAGGGAGGAGCGTAGAGGGATGGAATTGCTCGCGAAGTTGTAGAGTAACTGATCTTCATTATATTGACACAATGAAAGCAAATCTAAGTAATTATCAGAGTTTTTAGAAGCATAATGTTTTCAGCAGATGGCGATTTGTTTGTGCAGATAGGCTGACTGTCTCCCACACGTTTCTGCTGCCCCTTGCTCGGTGCAGATTTGTGTTTGTGTTTGGTTTAATTTGCCCCGTGAAGGTGATGAGGGAGCTGAACGGAGCGGTGGTACCTCAGGCGGCTGACAGTACGGATAAGCTCCCGTTCACATCCTCCAGATGGACTCTTGTATCTCAAGCTTCCAGAAGAGAATTCGTGTTGCACTGTATTCTTGTTATCCTGAAAATGCTGACTTGAAAACAGAAATCATTTTGATAGTAGTAGTACAGCATGTGATGACATTTGTAGTCTTGCTCCTCGGTGAACAGAAACGGGTGTTTGGCGTGGGCTGAGCTGGAGATGAGCAGCCTCGTACTACGTAGGGTCTGGCTGGAATATATATGGGACTTCACTTTTCTCCCGTCGTCCAAACGAATCTGACAGTTCTAGCTTGGTTAAGAGAGTGAGTTAGATTACGCAGAGAGAACAAACAAAAAAAGAGACTAGAGAGTTTTGGTGGAGTTTTTCAAGACTTGACTTTTTTTTAAAAAACTTTCATCCAATATCCTTAAGTTCTTCTGTGCACAGCTTGGTCAATAATTCTGGAAAACCTCAGGCAGCAAAGAGTGACCCATGTATATTCTCAGATACAGAAGGAATTTAATTTTTGACTTTCTATATTAAGCACTAGCTATTTTATCTCGCTTTCCAAAAATTCTAGTTAGATTCAAAATGACTTGAAAAAATGCAGAAGTTTAGTTTTGTGATGGAGGAGAGTATATCCTAAATTGCTCAGAGCATTAATACGAGTTTATGGTACAGTACAAAAATCACACTTTTAATTTTTTAAGGAGCGTTTTGAATCAGCCGTAATCCATTTCTGGACTTGATTCTTTTTGTGGTGGCGGGGGGTCGGGGGGGTGGGGAAAGGTGCAGAGGCTCTCCTAGTTCTGTATTGGGCTTTAAAATATAAACACCTGTCCTATCATCTCTCTCATATATATGTATATATATACACACATATATATTTATAAGAAATATATTATTTGTTTGACTGATTGGTCCTTCCACATATGGTAACCAGGAATAGCATGTATGCATCAGTTCATAGTCAGAATCATACCCTTTTTAGATCAGTCCTGTTGAGCTAATTTAAACACTATGGTTTCTGTTCTACAGCCTGAAAATCTTGAAATGCAAAAGAAATGCTTTTCCTATATTTCTGACTGGCCGAAGATCCACTTACTTATTTATTTTGTGTAGGGGTTGGGGAGAGATAAAACACGTGGATTCCAGAGAAATCATTTTATAAGTTTGTGTATTTTAGCAGCAATTAGAGTAATATTAAATATGTTCTTAAATGTATCTTTTCTATGTAACGAAGTACTGTGAAGATAACAGTGAAGCATCACTTTGCTGTGGCGTAAGTATTAATCAAATGTATTACATGATTAAGAGCTAGACAGCAGGGTGTGCTAGAACAACAGAACTATTGCTTATTGTAAAAAACAAAAACAAAACAACAAAAAAAACAAAAAAAGCGCTTTTTTTTTTGTGCATGAGAACCTTTTATAAGCATGAAAGAAATAACTTGTTTTTAGAGATGTTATTTTTACTTGGTTTTGTATCTGGATTCTTTCTCTGAGTTAGGCAATTGATTTCTCATAGCCTCGTTCTGTGGAATAAGTATAGTTTTGTAGTAACTTGGACACTTTCTCTCAAACCCCAGATCCCATCAGGAGCCACTTATGGTTGCAGAAAACTTAGTATCAACCCAACAGGTGCAGCAGAAGCAGTAAAATGATTTAAACCTTGTACCATCTCGCTCCCTGATCCGAAACCTGGATGCTCAGCCAGCATCTCACAAAGTTGCAAGTGCAGGCTGCACTGCCCGGTGTGTCGCAGAGTCAGGACCATATTCTCTCTCCTTGCACTTTTAACAAAAAACTCCAAGACTCTGCCTAAGAAAAGGGTTTGCAGGTCTGATTACCTGTCAGATTCCTGAAGGCTGACAAGGCATGCCGGCAGGCCAGGGGTTCCTCTGCTGCTGGAGGATTAATTCTCGGGCATCGGTGCTTCCAGGTTTTCTCCAGATGTGCAGTCTTGCCTGATCCCTCTCCCGAGTTGCTGCAGCACTTGAGGGCATTCAGGGACACCTTGGAGAAGGGGGCTTGTGCCCCGAGGGGCTTTGCCCGCAGCGGAGCCTTAGCCCCAGGCGCTCTGTCCTCTGGGGAGATGGGACTGAGTGGCTTGTGTGCGTCTTTGGGCTCATGTTTCTGCTGTCTCTGTAGCACTCCGTTTCTTCTCAGACCAGGGCATGAATGACAAAGCTTATTTTGCAGTAGTGATGTTTGCTGTTGTCTCGGTTCAGCCCAAACTTTGCCTGCTTTTTATTTTCCCTGTCACCTTTTGTTTTTCTCTTTGCCACGCTCCACCTCTCTCCTGTAGGCTATTTATGATACTCCTTTGGAAACTTATGGTATCTTGATGAATTTTATTTCAGCTAGACTGCTAGACGGTAAGATTTAATTCTTTCTGTCCCTCATTTTCCCCAAGACTTTCCATACTTTTTATATCTGCCTTACTTTGTTTACTAGCAACATTTCCAGATTGCTGGAGGTGGATTTAATGAAGATGGAAAGTTGGAGGGCTGGCTTCTTGGCTGCTCTGCACCTCCATGGCTGTCCCTACCCCGAGCGGCAATGCTGCCGGGTGGGACGGAGCAGGACGTGCCTTCCCTTGCTCCGACGCGGGTGATGGCAGGGCGGCGCGGCAGCAGGACCGCTGCCCTTGTGCTGCCGTACACACAGCTACGTAAACCAACGCTTAGTTCCACCTGGTATCCCTCAACACGTCTGCTCCCCGACTCCTGAATTACTCCTCCTGAATTGCAGTTAATGTAACCTTTGTAGAAGTCGCGTGCTTCCAGCCTCACGAGATGTTTCTGGTTTAAATAACCTGTGAAACTTTTTATGTCGGTGCTTGAACTTAGATGGGTCTGGGCGGTTTTATCACTCCTCTCTTATCTTTTTATCGGTCCTTTCTCCATAAGCTAAGCAGAGGCCACCCCCTTTTCCCAGTCAACCCCACCCTGCAGATAAACAAGCTAAATATAATCATGAAGAAATAATTTGTGGAGGATTTTTTTGGCTGCTTAAAATTTTGCGTCTTGTTGCATACTTTAATTTTCCCTGAATGTTTTCTTAAATGTACACCTTAGCTGCTTCTCCCGCACAAAAGTGGAGAGACTGTGTGGTACCTAGAGCACTGAAAAGAACTGACACCAGGTGCGTAGTAAAGAGGGTTTTCAAGTAATTTAAAAAATGTGGAAAGACCAACTACAATGTATTGCTGGTGACAATGTCTGGAGGCTCTCCAAAAAGCATGATGAACCTTGCTGAGCATTTGAAAAGGCTGCTCCTGGGTGTCTCTGGAATGTTTTTGACAACCGTTCAAAATCACACAGCATTAACATGAAAAAATAGGTTTAGCTCACTAATTTTTGCTAAGAACTTGATTAATATTTCATCTTTAATCTGAGCGGTGAATGACAGGGAAAACTGAATAACTGTAGGTTTAAGGATGTCTTGTCAGCCCTGACTCGGAGTGTCCTGCTGTCGTCGGTCTGTGGCATCAATTCAATGTTTTAAAACTGTATTTGTGTGTTTACATTTCTTGGTTTGGTTTTGTTTTGTTTTTAAAACCATCATGCAGAGTTTTCTAAAATGCTAATTATTTACATGGTAGACTGAAGGAGCAGTTAACAATCCAAGGATAAATCTATATTTAGTATTGTAGGGAGCTGTCATTGTGTTCTTAAAATTATGTATTATAGAAAATTACTGCGCATGTGCGATAGATAATTTTCAAATATTAGTGTACCAGAGGTTTACACATTGAGGAAAAAAAAAAAACAAACCACCTCCTTTAT